CCTGCCAGGCACAGGAGCCGGTGCTGAACCCCACTGTCCCCCTGGCTGGCCGCCGCGGGGAGACGTGGTCCCCCAGGATGCGGTACAGGAGTGGGATGGGTGGTCACCCAACACCGGTGGGACAGGGCTGGGTGCCCCCAGCCGTGCCTGCCCCCCCCCTGGCCTCACCACCGTCTGCTCCTTGCCCGCCAGGCGCAGCTCCAACTCCATGCGCTGCTGCAGCGCCGCGGCCCAGATCCTCTCCCAGCACTGCAGGTGCCCGCCAGCCGCCTTCCCACAGCTGTGGGGACACGGCGTGGGCAGGACAGGGTGTCAGGGGGACACCAAGCATCTGCCCCCTCTCCCTCATCTCACCCCATGCCAGGGCTCCCCCTCACCTGCTGCCCCCCAGCAGAAGGTTCAGCCCGCCGGGGCTCCCTCTGCCAGCCCTACCTCTCCAGCAGCCTTGCGCAGGCACTCTCCGTCGCCAGGACCTGCAACCAAAGTGACGTGTTTGGGGGGTGTGTGTTTAACCCACACGAGGGGGACATTGCACCCCGCTGTCCCCAGCTGCTGCCCTCAGAGCCAGGACAGCCACCTCCCCACCCTGTCCCACCTCCTCCCGGTGCGGCAAGGGGGTCTGCCTGCTTGCCTGTGCCATGGCCGGTGCTGCAGGGACTCCACAACTGCCCTCTGCACCAGCCACGCCGTTAACGGCATCCCGGTTACCGTGGCAGCGGCACAGGGAGGGATGCAACCCTGGATCCGCAGCCCTGAATCCAGCAGGGAAGGACTCCCCACAGTCAGAAGCTGATGGCACGCATCCTGCTCAGGGTAACTGTCATTTTATTAAACAGCAATTAAAAAGAGTGCAGAGGCCCAGATGAGGGGCAGGGGTCCCCGCCCCACGTGGTACATGCTGCAGTGACTGGTGAGCAGCGGGTGCTGCTGTCGGCCCGGCAGAATGCAGACGTCAAGTCGGGGGCTGCAAGTTTTTGCCCACGGAGGCTTGGCAGCCGCTGGCACACAGGCGCTGGTGAGAGTGGGAGGAAACACCCCCTTGGCAGGACAGACAGGACGTTCAAAGCTGGTATTTGTCTGTCCGAGACGTCCTCAAATGTCCAGTTGCAGGAGAAAGAGTAGAAACCACAGCCCAAAGAGGCACCTCAGCCACGACCAAACTATTTACACTCCGTCCAGGCACCCTCGTGCATGGCCCAGGCACAGAGGCAGGCTGGGCACGCCTGGCTCAGAGCAGCAGGCAGCAACGGTGCCACAGAGAAAAGAAGAGAATTCACCCTTTGGAAAGAACGGACGAGCGGCTGCAGAGCCTGAGGACTCACACAGATGGGACGGACAAACAGCATCACCCCCACCAGCCATCATGGGGAAAAGAGTACAGGTGGAGGAGAGCGCTGGCTGGGATCGATGTCTTTTATAAATAAGCTAAAGCTAATCAGTTTATTCACAGGGCCAGGGCTCCAAGGTGTTGCCAGACTCAAAGCCTCAAGCCTGAAGCATGTCCCAAGCCCACTGCGGAGGAGGCTGCGTGGGCTGGTCCCCTCC